TTTTTGCATCCCTGTTAAAACTTATTGCTGCTGTCGTCCTTATGTTATTTTCCTCCTTTATGTAACGAACCAAAGATTCATTTATTCCATAATGGTGCCCTACAGCCGCGTAACTTCTACCTTCCTTTAGCATGTCCAGAAGTTCAACTTTTTCTGCGATGGTTAGCATCTTCCTCTGCCTTTTGGGTGCGACCGCAGGTGCCTTTTTCCTTGCAGTTCGTTTCATCGACATTATGGGTTTTTTCGGGTAGAAAACTTGCAAACATACAGCACTTCAGAGTCACACTGCTAGCGATTGAACATTTATGTAAATCTGGCTAGCCGAACGCATTCTGTACTCCCTTAGCTAATCAGGACGCAGAACACATGTGCGGTTCTCCCTTAGCCAATCAGGACGCCGAACACAATGCGCGTTCATACTGTACGCAAGAAAAAAAAGCATGCAAAATTACACTAAAAAAAATCCGCGAAACAGCGAGGCCGCGAAAGGTGAACCGCGTTATAGTGAGGGACAACTGTATATGAATATAGACATGTTGTCACGTATGACTATGTGTATGCATTCCTCTGTGCATCGATACTGATGTGTAGATGGTGTGGATATATTATTTTTTCTGTCTGCAGCTGTTGCTTCCTCTTTCGCTTCCTCTGCAGAATTGGTCTGATGGAGCAAAGGCACTCGGCGCAGCTCGGTGCAAAAAGGCAACAATGCGACCGGTGTGCATACAGCACGGATCGTACTGAACATTTGACACGGCACCAGAGAACTCACACGGGAGAGAAACCCTTCAAGTGCAGTGTGTGTGGGAATGCGTTTGCACAGTCATCTACTCTTGTAACACACCAGAGAACGCACACGGGAGAAAAAACCCTTCAAGTGCAGTGTGTGTGGGAAGGCGTTTTCAGATCCATCTTCTCTTGTAGCACACCGGAGAACACACACGGGAGAGAAACCCTTCAAGTGCAGTGTGTGTAGGAAGGCGTTTGCACATTCATCTTCTCTTGTAACACACCAGAGAAGACACACGGGAGAGAAACCCTTCAAGTGCAGTGTGTGTGGGAAGGCGTTTGCACATTCATCTACTCTTGTAACACACCAAAGAACACACACAGGAGAGAAACCCTTCAGGTGCACTCCGTGCGGGATGGTGTTTGCACGTTCATCAAATCTTCAAGTACACCAGAGAACACACAAGCATGAGAAGATCCACAAGGAGTGGAGTCTGCAATCAGCTTGTGAAAGTCAAAGTGCCGCAATGAGCCCATCCCTCATGAAACAAGAACCGGAAGAATATCCCAGCTTGGAAACTTTTAAAGGTATCGAGGTTGAATGTGAAGAGGTGAAGGTGAAATGTGAAGAAGTGAGGGTAAAATGTGAAGATGAAGATTCAACTCCAAAATTGGACCTTCACATCGATGGAGGCAACGTGAAGCAGGAGGAGAATTCTGACTGTGAGGCAGAGCGAGGCAACTCCCAGCAGTTTGTGGAAGTGGAGGTGTGGGTGGACTTCCTAGACAATACAAAGTTAAATGGAGACCCGGTAGATGTGTAAGCCAGAGACGATGCCGCTCCAATAGATGCACCTTTGTCACAGGCCTTTAATGACAATCATGTGAAGTTGAACACTCAATTCCTGGTTCAACCTGCAGGGTAAGAGCGGCCAGTCTTTGTGGACCTGTAGGTTGGGTAGATCTCTAACCCGGAGTGAGAGCCAATAAGCTCCCAAGCATTCACAAGGTTTTAATAATTGCATTTGGCAATTTGTAGTTTTGTATCGTATCTCGTCTCAAATACTCAAAGAGCATCCCCAACTAGCAGCTGCCCCTGTGTGGCACAAGGTGGTGGCCCTGCACCGGCCTGTATGTGGACAAGAGCCTGTCTGTCGGGGGCGATGGTTGATGTGGCATCTCAGTTGTGGAGTTAATGTTTAGAATTTGCTAAATTTTGACCGAGACACCAGCATGCAATGGCCTACTCATTTTGAATGGCGCAATAGTATGTTGTACATACACTGTTAAGCAGACGGTGCGTATTTTTTTAAATAGCTTCTTGTTAGTACGATGTAACCTGATGCAGTATATTTCACTGCAGTAATTAAATTTTGTTAATATTCCTGTGAATCATTTAGAATGAATACTTGTCTGATTGTGTGCGTACATGTAACATTTTGTCTGTAAGGGTCAAACATTGATTAAGTGATGTTAGGACAAAGTGTGTGTTTTGAAAGTAACCTGTACAGATAACTCAGGTGAGGCTCATTGTTCTTGTGATACAGGTCAGAGGGTATTTTTGTGTTTTCAGGAAGCATCTCCCTCTGGAGCAACTCATTGTCTTTGAAATATGGAGCACACTCGGATCATTCATCAGTTACAAGGCATACCACTCAAAAGTTACGCGTAGAGGAGATACATTCTCTACAACACGAATTATCATTTAGTATTACGTGTTGACATAGATTTTGTTGAATTAGGACTAGAAATGGTCCTTGCTGATTAACGTCTGGATGTTCACAACCAAGGGTTGAAGCAAGCCTGACCGCCTGCGGCGCCCCTCAACTATTTATGGCCTTGGGCCAGGAAAGTCACGAAAAGAATTGCACACGAACGACGCCTCCACGCAAGCTCCCGATGCTCCGTTTTGAAGTTTGAAAATGAAACAACTTTGAATTGCATTATTTTTTGAATTAGATAATTTTATTTCTTAATTAAAAGCTTATATAATTTTACATCTGGAAGACTTAATTGAAAACGACATTCGTGTGAATTTTCTCTCGTCTTTAAGTAGATAGCCTTGCCGGGGGTTCGGTTCTATGCGGACTTTCACCTGGTTGGGATCGCGGGATCGAGATGAGGTGACACAGAGCTGGCCGTGCGAGAAGACCACCGTCTCCAGATCGATTTCAACGCGATCGAACGTCTGTCCCTGCGCCTCCGTCGTTCATGCAGGGGGCGCGTATGTTTGCAGCGCCCCCTGCATGAAAACGACGGAATGTGCAGCGTTCGTCACGAAGTTGTGCGTAAGTGCCATAAGGCGCTGTAAGCTGACCTGCCACCACGTTCACGGGTCAACAGGGAGCAGCCGAGAGAGAGAGCGAGGTGCGTAGGGGTCGACCAAAGGTTAAACCCCTGCTCCCCCCCCCACCCCCCGTGACCAGAGACTAACACCCCTGACCCCCCACCTGTCCCCTAAGGCCCCTTAAGATTAGACCTTCCAGAAGGTTCTGGGAGGGGGGGGGGGGTCAGGAGGGGATGGGTGACCCCGACCTGGTGATAAAAGGCCGGCCCTCTGGACGGGCCGGGCAGTGTTCACCAACTCAAGCCTGAAGACATCCGAAGACCTGAAGACTGGACCAGAACCTGGGGACCCTCAACCGAGGCTCTTGTTAGAGCCGGGTTGTAGCGGACCAGGGGTGAGCTCCCGTACCCTGGCTGGGACGGGTCGTCCAATCTTCCCTTAACGCCGGGCTAAGGGACCCGTGGGTAGCAGAGCCCGGAGTGTGCAGGCTGCGATAGAAGGGAGGCTGTCACTCCCGGAGACTATCGTGTGGAAGGGGCCTTACCCCTTCGTGTTACAGTAGTGTGTAGAGCCGAGTTCGAAAGTTATAATAAACGCGTTGCCCCAACCAGATGTCTCCGTGTGGTTGGTTAAGGACACAACACTTACATAAAAGAGTGTAGCCAGTGGGTTTTGGAAGTACCTTCGTCTTACAGAAATCAATTTCGCGTGAGCCCACCGCATTAAAACGATGCTCAGCTTAGCGGGGCGAGTCACGGTGTGGGGAGGGGGGTCACCTTATCTTAGTCACGTGACGTAGCTCACGTGACTTCTGACGCGACAATGTCTGGATGTTTTCGCCTGAGGACGACCGCTCGTGTTGCGATCGAAACGTCGTGATTTATTATTTTATTTATTTTTTCTACCTGCGTGACTTTACCGAAAGAACCAAAGAGTCTGAAAGACGTCTTGTCTGCTGGTCTTGTTCATATCTGTGTACATCAATATCCCACATTGCTTACACGTACACACCACACACAATTAAATAAATATAAACTAGAACGACTGGGCGAGTTAAGTTTGTTCGATTCAACATGTCTGTGTCTCTGTTCGCCTCTGTGTCTCTCTCTGCCTGTGTCTCTCTGTCTCTGTGATCCTCTTGTCTGTTTTTGTCCGCCTGTCTTGTCTGTCTGTGTCTGTCTATCAGCGTCTGTCCAACTGTAGTCAACGACTGTCAGTAGCAGCAGGCGCCCGTTCAGCTCCCACAGCTACACGCCACTCAAACTTGCTCCCAACACACAAAGATCCCCCGTATAGCCTGCACAGAATGTTGGGGCAAGTGCAGTTAGCGAGCACCTATTAAGGGTGGGACGGCACACGAGTGGGTGGGTGGCCAGCACCACGCCCGGCCGCCTTTGTCTCCATAGTGGCGATGTTTACACACCGCACCGGGTACTCGTTTGAGGCTGAGTCGACGTAGGGGAGGCTCAGGACCGGTTCAGAAAATCGTCACTGGCGGTGTTGGCCACGAGCGGGAATGGAACTCGGCTGGTCGGGAGCGGAGCGCAGCGCTCAACACCGCTCCCCTTCTGTCAACAAACTTTAACTCTGACCCCGCTCTCTGACGTCACCGCTCAGCGTGACCTCATCGGCGTCAAACGCCAGGGGGAGGTAGGCCTTGCTAGTGACGTCATGTCAGCCACCCCCGAACACCGCTCTCTTGAGCGTGACGTCTCCGTTCGGCCGCTGCCGATTTCTGTTCCGGTGCCAATCCTTATTTGGGCAAAGCTACGCCTGGTGACATGTTAATGAGCGAGAGCTCATTAACAAAATGTATTCGTGAAAGCCGTCGCGACGGGTCCAGAACCCACGCCCCACCCTTTTACATGAGCCGGGAGCATTAACATAATTTATTTACGTAGGAGCCGCTCATTGTGGGAGGGGAGTGTTATCGTTCCCCATCAGTGACGTCATGTCACCGCCTGCTGCCGCGTGACGTCACGAGATAACAGGAAGCTGCTGCTCCGCCCGTGCACAGAAATCCGAGGTGAGAATTCTCATCGCGGTTGTGGTGGTGGTTGTAGTGGTGGTTGTTGTGGTGGTGGTTGTTGTCGTGGTGGAGGTTGTCGTGGTGGTGGTTGTTGTGGTGGTGGTTGTTGTGGTGGTGGTTGTGGTGGTGGTTGTTGTGGTGGTGGTTGTTGTGGTGGTGGTTGTTGTGGTGGTGGTTGTGGTGGTTTTGGTTGTTGTGGTGGTGGTTGTTGTGGTTGTTGTTGTGGTGGTTGTTGTGGTGGTGGTTGTTGTGGTGGTTGTTGTGGTGGTGGTTGTTGTGGTGGTGGTTGTTGTGGTGGTGGTTGTTGTGGTGGTTGTTGTGGTGGTTGTTGTGGTGGTGGTTGTTGTGGTGGTTGTTGTGGTGGTTGTGGTGGTGGTGGTTGTGGTGGTGGTTGTTGTGGTGGTGGTTGTTGTGGTGGTTGTTGTGGTGGTGGTTGTTGTGGTGGTGGTTGTGGTGGTGGTTGTTGTGGTGATGGTTGTTGTGGTGGTTGTTGTGGTGGTGGTGGTTGTGGTGGTGGTCGTTGTGGTGGTGGTGGTTGTTGTGGTGGTGGTTGTTGTGGTGGTTTTGGTTGTTGTGGTGGTGGTTGTTGTGGTGGTTGTTGTGGTGGTGGTTGTTGTGGTGGTGGTTGTTGTGGTGGTAGTTGTTGTGGTGGTGGTTGTGGTGGTGGTGGTTGTTGTGGTGGTGGTTGTTGTGGTGGTGGTTGTTGTGGTGGTGGTTGTTGTGGTGGTGGTTGTTGTGGTGGTGGTTGTTGTGGTGGCGGTTGTTGTGGTGGTGGTTGTTGTGGTGGTTGTTGTGGTGCTGGTTGTTGTGGTGGTGGTTGTTGTGGTGGTTGTGGTGGTGGTTGTTGTGGTGGTTGTTGTGGTGGCGGTTGTTGTGGTGGTGGTTGTTGTGGTGGTGGTTGTTGTGGTGGTGGTTGTTGTGGTGGTTGTTGTGGTGGTTGTTGTGGTGGTTGTTGTGGTGGTGGTTGTTGTGGTGGTTGTTGTGGTGGTGGTTGTTGTGGTGGTTGTTGTGGTGGTGGTTGTTGTGGTGGTGGTTGTTGTGGTCGTGGTTGTTGTGGTGGTGGTTGTTGTGGTGGTTGTTGTGGTGGTGGTTGTTGTGGTGGTTGTTGTGGTGGTGGTTGTTGTGGTGGTGGTGGTTGTTGTGGTGGTTGTGGTGGTTGTTGTGGTGGTTGTTGTGGTGGTTGTTGTGGTGGTGGTTGTTGTGGTGGTTGTTGTGGTGGTGGTTGTTGTGGTGGTGGTTGTTGTGGTGGTGTTGTGGTGGTGGTTGTTGTGGTGGTTGTTGTGGTGGTGGTTGTTGTGGTGGTGGTTGTTGTGGTGGTAGTTGTTGTGGTGGTGGTTGTTGTGGTGGTGGTGTTGTGGTGGTGGTTGTTGTGGTGGCGGTTGTTGTGGTGGCGGTTGTTGTGGTGGCGGTTGTTGTGGTGGTGGTTGTTGTGGTGGTTGTTGTGGTGGTGGTTGTTGTGGTGCTGGTTGTTGTGGTGGTGGTTGTTGTGGTGGTGGTTGTTGTGGTGGTTGTTGTGGTGGTGGTTGTTGTGGTGGTTGTTGTGGTCGTGGTTGTTGTGGTGGTGGTTGTTGTGGTGGTTGTTGTGGTGGTGGTTGTTGTGGTGGTTGTTGTGGTGGTTGTTGTGGTGGTGGTTGTTGTGGTGGTTGTTGTGGTGGTGGTTGTGGTGGTGGTTGTTGTGGTGGTTGTTGTGGTGGTGGTTGTGGTGGTTGTGGTTTTGGTTGTTGTGGTGGTGGTTGTTGTGGTGGTTGTTGTTGTGGTTGTTGTGGTGGTGGTTGTTGTGGTGGTTGTTGTGGTGGTGGTTGTTGTGGTGGTGGTTGTTGTGGTGGTGGTTGTTGTGGTGGTGGTTGTTGTGGTGGTTGTTGTGGTGGTGGTTGTTGTGGTGGTTGTTGTGGTGGTTGTGGTGGTGGTGGTTGTGGTGGTGGTTGTTGTGGTGGTGGTTGTTGTGGTGGTTGTTGTGGTGGTGGTTGTTGTGGTGGTTGTTGTGGTGGTGGTTGTGGTTGTTGTGGTGGTGGTTGTTGTGGTGGTGGTTGTTGTGGTGGTGGTTGTTGTGGTGGTGGTTGTGGTGGTGGTTGTTGTGGTGATGGTTGTTGTGGTGGTTGTTGTGGTGGTGGTTGTGGTGGTGGTCGTTGTGGTGGTGGTGGTTGTTGTGGTGGTGGTTGTTGTGGTGGTTTTGGTTGTTGTGGTGGTGGTTGTTGTGGTGGTTGTTGTGGTGGTGGTTGTTGTGGTGGTGGTTGTTGTGGTGGTGGTTGTTGTGGTGGTTGTTGTGGTGGTGGTTGTGGTGGTTGTGGTTTTGGTTGTTGTGGTGGTGGTTGTTGTGGTGGCGGTTGTTGTGGTGGTGGTTGTTGTGGTGGTTGTTGTGGTGCTGGTTGTTGTGGTGGTGGTTGTTGTGGTGGTTGTTGTGGTGGTGGTTGTTGTGGTGGTTGTTGTGGTGGCGGTTGTTGTGGTGGTGGTTGTTGTGGTGGTGGTTGTGGTGGTGGTGGTTGTTGTGGTGGTGGTTGTTGTGGTGGTTGTTGTTGTGGTGGTTGTTGTGGTGGTGGTTGTTGTGGTGGTTGTTGTGGTGGTGGTTGTTGTGGTGGTGGTTGTTGTGGTGGTGGTTGTTGTGGTGGTGGTTGTGGTGGTTTTGGTTGTTGTGGTGGTGGTGGTTGTTGTGGTGGTTGTTGTGGTGGTTGTGGTGGTGGTGGTTGTGGTGGTGGTTGTTGTGGTGGTGGTTGTTGTGGTGGTTGTTGTGGTGGTGGTTGTTGTGGTGGTTGTTGTGGTGGTGGTTGTGGTTGTTGTGGTGGTGGTTGTTGTGGTGGTGGTTGTTGTGGTGGTGGTTGTTGTGGTGGTGGTTGTTGTGGTGATGGTTGTTGTGGTGGTTGTTGTGGTGGTGGTTGTGGTGGTGGTCGTTGTGGTGGTGGTGGTTGTTGTGGTGGTGGTTGTTGTGGTGGTTTTGGTTGTTGTGGTGGTGGTTGTTGTGGTGGTTGTTGTGGTGGTTGTTGTGGTGGTGGTTGTTGTGGTGGTGGTTGTTGTGGTGGTAGTTGTTGTGGTGGTGGTTGTTGTGGTGGTGGTTGTTGTGGTGGTGGTTGTTGTGGTGGTGGTTGTTGTGGTGGTTGTTGTGGTGGTGGTTGTTGTGGTGGTGGTTGTTGTGGTGGTGGTTGTTGTGGTGGCGGTTGTTGTGGTGGTGGTTGTTGTGGTGGTTGTTGTGGTGCTGGTTGTTGTGGTGGTGGTTGTTGTGGTGGTTGTTGTGGTGGTGGTTGTTGTGGTGGTTGTTGTGGCGGTTGTTGTGGTGGTGGTTGTTGTGGTGGTGGTTGTTGTGGTGGTGGTTGTTGTGGTGGTTGTTGTGGTGGTTGTTGTGGTGGTGGTTGTTGTGGTGGTTGTTGTGGTGGTGGTTGTTGTGGTGGTTGTTGTGGTGGTGGTTGTTGTGGTGGTGGTTGTTGTGGTCGTGGTTGTTGTGGTGGTGGTTGTTGTGGTGGTTGTTGTGGTGGTGGTTGTTGTGGTGGTTGTTGTGGTGGTGGTTGTTGTGGTGGTGGTGGTTGTTGTGGTGGTTGTGGTGGTTGTTGTGGTGGTTGTTGTGGTGGTTGTTGTGGTGGTGGTTGTTGTGGTGGTTGTTGTGGTGGTGGTTGTTGTGGTGGTGGTTGTTGTGGTGGTGTTGTGGTGGTGGTTGTTGTGGTGGTTGTTGTGGTGGTGGTTGTTGTGGTGGTGGTTGTTGTGGTGGTAGTTGTTGTGGTGGTGGTTGTTGTGGTGGTGGTGTTGTGGTGGTGGTTGTTGTGGTGGCGGTTGTTGTGGTGGCGGTTGTTGTGGTGGCGGTTGTTGTGGTGGTGGTTGTTGTGGTGGTTGTTGTGGTGGTGGTTGTTGTGGTGCTGGTTGTTGTGGTGGTTGTTGTGGTGGTGGTTGTTGTGGTGGTTGTTGTGGTGGTGGTTGTTGTGGTGGTGGTTGTTGTGGTCGTGGTTGTTGTGGTGGTGGTTGTTGTGGTGGTTGTTGTGGTGGTGGTTGTTGTGGTGGTTGTTGTGGTGGTTGTTGTGGTGGTGGTTGTTGTGGTGGTGGTTGTGGTGGTGGTTGTTGTGGTGGTGGTTGTTGTGGTGGTGGTTGTGGTGGTTGTGGTGGTTTTGGTTGTTGTGGTGGTGGTTGTTGTGGTGGTTGTTGTTGTGGTGGTTGTTGTGGTGGTGGTTGTTGTGGTGGTTGTTGTGGTGGTGGTTGTTGTCGTGGTGGAGGTTGTCGTGGTGGTGGTTGTTGTGGTGGTGGTTGTGGTGGTGGTTGTGGTGGTGGTTGTTGTGGTGGTGGTTGTTGTGGTGGTGGTTGTTGTGGTGGTGGTTGTGGTGGTTTTGGTTGTTGTGGTGGTGGTTGTTGTGGTGGTTGTTGTGGTGGTGGTTGTTGTGGTGGTTGTTGTGGTGGTGGTTGTTGTGGTGGTGGTTGTTGTGGTGGTGGTTGTTGTGGTGGTTGTTGTGGTGGTGGTGGTTGTTGTGGTGGTTGTTGTGGTGGTTGTGGTGGTGGTGGTTGTGGTGGTGGTTGTTGTGGTGGTGGTTGTTGTGGTGGTTGTTGTGGTGGTGGTTGTTGTGGTGGTTGTTGTGGTGGTGGTTGTGGTTGTTGTGGTGGTGGTTGTTGTGGTGGTGGTTGTTGTGGTGGTGGTTGTTGTGGTGGTGGTTGTGGTGGTGGTTGTTGTGGTGATGGTTGTTGTGGTGGTTGTTGTGGTGGTGGTGGTGGTTATGGTGGTGGTCGTTGTGGTGGTGGTGGTTGTTGTGGTGGTGGTTGTTGTGGTGGTGGTTGTTGTGGTGGTTGTGGTTGTTGTGGTGGTTGTTGTGGTGGTTGTTGTGGTGGTGGTTGTTGTGGTGGTGGTTGTTGTGGTGGTAGTTGTTGTGGTGGTGGTGGTTGTGGTGGTGGTTGTTGTGGTGGTGGTTGTTGTGGTGGTTGTTGTGGTGGTGGTTGTTGTGGTGGTGGTTGTTGTGGTGGCGGTTGTTGTGGTGGTGGTTGTTGTGGTGGTTGTTGTGGTGCTGGTTGTTGTGGTGGTGGTTGTTGTGGTG